AATAATGATTTAAAAATGCTGGAGTTGGCTGGGGATTTAGCTCAGTGGTTCCACCGCCTGCCTCAAAAGCTAAGGACCCGAGTTTGATCCCCGGTGAAAAAAAAAAAAAAAAAAAAAATTCTGGAGTCATTCTATATTCTGTGCCTGAATTGCAAGCTCCCTGCTCATATTTTTCTTGTTCATTGTTTTGTCCTCAACTCTAAGCCAACTGCCTGGCAGAGTAGGGCTTTAGTAAGAATTTATTGACTAAATGAGTGAAAGTCTTCTTGAAGCTAGTGAGGAAATTCCTTTCTTTTTTTTTTGCAGTACCAAGGATCAAACTCAGGACCTTGTGCTTGTGAGGCAGGCGCAGCACCACTGAGCCAAATCCTTGGCCCATATATTTCTTCATAATACATAAATGAGGAACCTGAAACTTACCCTACAAGATCAGGAATTACATGAAAGTATGAAATCCCCAAAGAACCAGAAATTGCAATGGAAGAGATCTTTCCATGATAGCATCTGCAGGGCAAATTGTCTGATACATATATAGAATGATGTGCCTTTTAAAAAAGTTATTCATATAGGTGTAATGGCTAGAAAGTTGGGCAGGATTTATGATAAGTAACCAATTTTTTAATGCTTTATAGGGAAGAAATTTTTATACTGTGAGCCACATAAGAGAATTAAGGAAGTTTTGGAAGAAGAACTTTATATCAAGAGAGATGAATGCCACATTAAAAACCCACCTTCAGGTAATCTCAGTGACAAATGAAGTATATTTGTGAAATGAATATGGAATTACCTATTTGATGGCAGCATTTATTACAAAATTATACCTGTAAAAATAAAAAATGGGTAATGAATTCTTGGGAAATTCCTGAATTTCTCTAATTATTTGGCCTATGTCCAAATAAACCTTTATATTTAGAAAACTGAGCTAAATATCAGTTTGTAGTTTGCTGCTCCATTTTTTATAGTGTTATCTTTATTTAATGACAAGCAAAGAATTTTTCATATGCTTGTAAAACACAGTGACATCTTCAGCTTATCAATCTAGGCATGGCTAATAATAGTGACTCCTAATATCTAGATTGTATCAGAATTACCCAGGATCTTATTAAAAGCAGGCTGCTGGCCCCATTCCTAGAGCATCTGGCTCAATAGTTTTGGGGTAGGGCTTAAAAATTTATATTTCTGCCAAGTAAAGTTTGATGCCTCTGGTTCAGAGAACACACTTTGCCAACTACTGACCCAGAAAAATTAAGTTGTTTAAACAGGTCAAGTCATTCTAAGATTTCATCCCACAAACACAGAATGTGTGAGTTTTATAAGTTGCATGATCTGGACACTGACAGCACTCACTGGGGGATTCATGTGAGGACAGATATACTCTGGGAGCCCCAGAACTCCCCAAGATGTACTTTTGAAACTGCTAGTCCCCCTCATTTTCATGGTTCCTTCTCAGTGGTTATTAAGTGCATATTTCATGCTCTTCAATTATCAAGTTTTTATTGAAATGCTCTTGGGTACCAGCAATTGCTAGCAGAAATGCAAGAATTTAAAATAGGACTCCTGGGGTTGGGGATTTAGCTCAGTGGTTCTGGCGCCTGCTTTGCAAGCTCAAGGTCCAGAGTTCAATCCCCAGTACCAAAAAAAACAGGACTCCTATGCTCAGAGAATTTCATATTTTCTGAGGAGGATTGCTCTGGGGAGGAGGGTCTCAGATTCCCTCAGGATTCTAAGAGCAAGTGCTGCAAGCTCAAAGGTGTATTATTTCAAAGTCCATGATGCACACGCCCACTTTACGTTTCTTTCTTTTTTCTTTTTTTTTTTTGTACTGGGGATCAAACTTAGGACCTTGCACTTGGAAGGCAGGTGCTGGAACCACTGAGCTAAATCCCCAGCCCTACATTTCTAAACTAGCTATAGAAACAGCTTTTGGGTCTTCTCATATCATCTGCTTTTACAGGATGAGAGACCATTGACTTGACCAAATCCACTCAAACAATGTCTCAAGGAAGTATTAAAGTCTACTTTGAACTCCATGAATGGAAGCAGAATGAACTACATTTCAGCTGTGAAACCTAGCCTATATGTACTATTTCCTAGGTGGTTAAAATTTTTTTATAACTCTATTCTATTATAGTTTGGATTTATCTTCATTGTTTTTAAAGATTACATACAGAACTATATACTAGTTGTATGTAGTATCCTTCTTACTGGATACATTTGGTTGTGAGACTGTTTAAGTGAGTAGGAAGTAAACACTGATTTTCTAGGAAATCTTTTAAATATCACTTACACAAAATAGAGACTGGATTGCATTTTTATATCATCCACCAGAGGTCAACATAAATATATGGGGAGAGCCGTGAGTAAAATGAGTTCTTCAAGGACAATGAGAATTTCCAAAGAAGATGAGAACCAGGATAATTTCATATCATGCAATCTGAGGAAGGAACACAGTTTGAGGAAAAAGCTGTCAACCATGTTAAATGTTGCAGATTTCAAGCTAGTAAAGGACAAAACAGAATCCACTGGTCTTAGCCATATTGGGTCATTGGACACCAAAATGAATAGAATGTCAACAGGATTTTTGGTCAGATCAGAATTTGGAATATGGTCTGCCACTTACTTAAAAAGCATAACCATGGACAAATTTAAGAACCTCCCCAAAATCTTGTTACTTATTCTAAAATGGAGGGCTTAATGCCTATATCACATAGCTTTTGCAAAGATTTGTGTTAAGCAAAATAAAGTCAGTATCCTCAGGTTGCTTTCATTCTAGTAGGAGAGTCAATAAGGGAGTGTACAGATAAATGTGTCACTTCAGGTAATGGTAAAAAAAATAAGGCAGAAAAAAGGAAGTAGTAGAAAGGATTAGAAGTGACTTAAAGGAGAAGTGGCTTCTATTTTAACCCGGTGGAATGTGAAGGCCTCTCTGAGATGGTGGCATGTGAACTGAAACCCAAATGAAGGAAAAAGACACTCAGTGGTCTGGATGAAGCAGGAAGGTCCTGAGGTGGACATAGACTTGGCATGTTCTAGAGTATCAAGAAAGCCTGTGTGACTAAACCAGATTGGAAAAGTATAGAAGATCAGAGAAGTGACCAGGTGATATGAGAATAAAAATTACTTTAAGAATTATAAGAAACCACTGGGGAATCTTGAGCATGGAGGTGAGGTGTGGCTATTTATTTTGTAAACAGTGTCTCTGGTTTCTGTGTAGAGAACAGACAAAGGGGACCACAGTAGAAGCTATCACAGGAGCTTTTGCTAGGCCTGTGAGAGATGGTGGGGGCTTGGGTCCTGACTCAGCTGTGCGACTGAGGCTATATTTCATACGTAGGTTCATCAGGATTAGCCAATGGACTTATATGGAGTGTAAGCATTTGACTTAACCAGCTGGGTGAAAGGGCGTGCTGTTTCTTGATATGTAGAAGATAAGTTATGAGTAGGTTTTTAAAAGTCTGGGGTAAAGAATTAGATTGAGCTCAGTTCTGGACATGTTAAGTTTGAGAGGCCTATCAAACATCCAAATGTAGAGTCAAGTAGGCTTTTTGGATTTAAGGGGGAAAATAAAGACTAGAAATATACACTTTTGGAGTCATTAGTACAATACAGCTAAATACAATCACCCAAGGTGAGAGTGTAGATAAAGGGGGCAGGTTCTCCAAATTTTGAAGGCCACAAGGAGAATCAGCAAAGAGGATGGGGAGAAATTGGTCAAAGAGGTAGGAGCAAAACCAGGAATGGAGCATGGTGACTAGAGACCAAGTTGAAGAAGTGTTTTAAAAAAGAGTGAAGAGTTGTGTCAGATGAGTATAATGGGTAGGCTACTGGCTTTGACATTCAAGAGAACTATTTGCAATCTGGAAGAGCAATTTCCTTGAACTCACAAGGACAAAAGCCTAATTGGAAAACATTACATAAAGAGGGAAAGATAATGGATCAAGTATACTTACTCCTTTTTAAAAAATATTATTTTATTGGTACATTTTAGATATACGATATAATGACATTCATCATTGGAAATTTGCACCTTTACATAGTCTCTCTTGGTTCTTATATTGCCCCTTCCCCTGCTCTCCCTTAAACCCCTCCATCCCTCCCTATTTACAAAGACTGTTTCCATCTTCTCATATTAATTCCATTCCCTTCTTTCCTTTCCCCGACCCCTCCCACTTCCCCTTTCCCTTTGCCCCTTTTCTTCCTATTTCACATTACCTATTATACCTTTTAGTCCTTCTTTACACTTTCAGTTTCTCACACTAGAGAAACCATTTGGTATTTACATGTGTGTCCTATTTATTTCACTTAAGAGTATCGCCTCAATGTGCATCCATTTAGCTATAAATGTCTCTAATTTCTC